ACAGCTTCAAGCAGAAGCTAGCCAAATAGTTTTGGAGAGCGTTTACTCACCTTTTTCACAACCATTATTCCATTTGTCAGTCGCACTAAATAACATCAGCTAATAAACGCTAATGTCACTTATATGCAAATATTAATCAACTTTTAACTTTAAGCTGCAAAGCTAATAAAGCGAATATATTACATATTTGATAGCTTCTACTCAACCAACCATTCATGTTGAATAACACAAACATCAAAAGTGATTTTTCAACAACTAATCAACCTGTACTCAACTAATTCACTATGTTAGCGCTACTTTGGAAGCTATTTTACAGTCAACTAGGTTTATTTTTAGACTTGTGCAGTTTTACAGCTTTTACTCTGCTTCTTTACAAAGCTGAATTAACTAGTCGAGAAAAGTGATTCATGTGCACTATTTTAAAGCCTCTACTCAGCGATCTTGTTGTAGAAGGGCATCTATCTTGGTTTACGTCAGTTCAAAGTGTTGGCGTAGCGAAGTTGGTAGTATCAAGGTTCGCCAATGTGGTCGTCTTGAGTTCGATTCCAAGTTCCTGTACAGTGTACAGGGCTGGTAGCAGGTCACTTTTTAGTGACTTGGTCACTATTTTCAAGTCAGTCACTAAAAAGTCACTTTTTTCATCAAAAAGTCACTAAAGTCACACGCGAATCGCCAGGACGGGATTTCATTTTCATTTTGATTACTTGGAGTGGCACAACTCCAAGTAATTTTGCCAGTTCATCTTTGATCTGATCCAGGGATTCACCACTGGGCAGTCCTTTCATGACAACCTTGAACACACGTTCAGTTTAGGTGTCGTAAGTAAAAAAATTTGTGCTTCTTCTCAGTAAGATACTTGAGAAGACATTTAAATCCGTCCAAGGTTTCAGCCAATACACGGCATTCACCCCGACGTCCAATTTGTAGAGAAAACTTAACTTTCACGAAGTTCAAAATTTCCATGCGAAGAGCATGGAAATCGGAAGTGGTTATCACAATAGGGGGAATCTTTTCCTTCTTGGCATTAAGCCGGGAAAGTTTACTAGAATTTTTCTTGGATGATGGATCATTCTCATCATCCGTGAGCAAATCAAATTGATTACTCAAATTAATTTCTTCAGAAGGGGGGTCAAGAGTTTGCCCCTTTCTTTTGCGTTTAGGCGCCATGGCGACAGTAAATTTTTATCCAAATCGACTTCCAAGCAGATTACTATAAGAATCTGAAGGATCGAAGAGGAATTTTCCAAATCGATATCCAAGAAGGATTACCAAACAAGGATCGAAGAGGAATAAAGTTGAACAAGGTAGAAATTTTACAGGTTGAGCACTGAAAAGTGCTGTTTAAATTTGTTGTAGCTTTAGGTAGTAGTAACACTTCCTTCAGCAAAAAGCAAATACATCCGCACGGCAAGAGAGCACGATACGGACTGACGAAAAGCTTACTTGAATTTCACTTAACCTTCACCAGCATGACATGTGGACTGGTCCAGTGCGGCACGTGAACCTTATTGAATTCTTATTTTGAAGAGGCTACCTGAATTTTCTGGTAAAAATTACCATTCCCGATGGTTCAATGTAAAAAAATGGTCTAGGAAGATTTTCAAGCTGGGACCTCCCTTAGCTCAGTCGGTAAAGGCACAGCTACAAAGCAAGACCATGCTGGAGGTGGCTGGGTTCGATTCCCGGTCCGGTCTAGGAATTTTTCGGGTTGGAAAATTTCTCGACTTCCCTGGGCATAGAGTATGATTGTACTTGCCACACAATTATACCAATGCAAAAATGGTACAGGCATCGAAAGCTCTCAATTAATAACTGTGGAAGTGCATCTAGAACACTAAGTTGAGAGCACGCAATAAGCTAATATTCCATACGCAATAAGCTTGAAATGCGAGTAAGAAGAAGAAGAAGATTTTCAAGCTCTCGACATTTGTTCAAACGCCCGAAATTTATATGATCTTCAACCACCGGTAGCTTTAGTATTTGTCAAAACATCGAGAAAACAAATCATGTCACAGGTTCTTGAGTTCCTTTTTAAATCCATTAAATTGTATTGTATTTTGTCCATACTAATATTCCGGTAATACAAAAACAAATATTCCAGATACAGGTCTTAGAAAAAAAATAAAAAAAAAAAAAGTTTTCCTAAATCTCTAATTTTTCACGATTGAGATTTTAAGTCCCAGGCGCATTCATTTTGTTTTATGTCCGTGATCACTCCATCTGGGACATAATAATGAGATTTTTTCTTAAACTGTGATCTAGAAAAGTTGTCTAGGTCCCAGGGTTATGATTCTTTTTCTTTGTTTGAGGTGTTACAGAAGATTCTATTCTTGGGAGGTTACAAAGAAGAGAAGGATATTTTATTAATATACTCATGGCTAACTTAGATCTATATGCATTTAATTCTAGACTGCAGTTCTGCATGTTGTTAAATGCATCGCTTCATATATATCCTAGATCTTAAAAAAAACTGCTGTCCTAAAATTGTAAATTGTGCCTCAATTTCGCGATCTAATAACAAATTCGTGATCTGCAGAGTGAGGAAATGGAGGTTAGAATTGGACCGTGGTCACTTTTTAATAGTTTAAAGGTCACTAGTTGGTCACTATTTTCGAAATTTTAGTCACTAAAGTCACTACTTTTACATCACATACCCACTACCAGCCCTGAGTGTAAATCATTTGGTGGTGTGCTACTAATTTCGATTAATTTAATTCGCAGTAAAATAAACTTGATAAATTCCTCCACCAAAAAACAAAGCGTAAATAGTAGGTATTTAACCTGGCGTCAAGATAAAATGTGTAGTGATTATTGGATAATCGGGTAAAGGTTGAGTAAGTGCCTTTCAAGTTCACACACGACTAAACAGCAGAATAACCGCTGTATAGAAGCGTAAATGGATATGCAATTAGAGCCTGCCACTACCGTCCCAACAGCCAAAAGTAGCTGACTAAGTTCGCCAGATTTGCTTGTATAGAGGTTGGGTAAAGGTTTCCTCATATCGTATAACATTTGAACATTTGAGGTTGTATAAATGAAATGAGTAAAGCGTTTACATTGCGAAAATTGTTAGTTGGGAGAATAAAATTTGCAGTATGGAGTTCTTCATTGCAATTTTAATTGAGCTCTGGCCATGTGTTGTGATTATCCTTAGCTGCGTTTCACCAAATTGGAAGCTCAGTACAACATTTAATTTCCGAAAATGCGTGTTTTCATCGAGCCAACGTCAACGTTTTACCAAATATATTATATTAACAATATGATCCACTCTTTCGCTTAGCTGGCGAACCAAATTTTTAGCGATGAAGGCACCCCTGTGGCCAAAAAGGTTACCAATGTACTTGTTTATCGTCACGAGGGGTAAATTAAATAAAAATTTGTTTAATATTTCAAATGAATGTATTTCAGCATTTTATTTTATTTCATGACAACAGTGACATGTCAGACACATTTTAAAGTGATATACACAATGTAATTAATGAAAATAATTTGACTCTTACTTTTGTAATAAGTGCTATATTCGCACCCCTCGATTGTAATTGAACGATTGTTGCTGACCTTTTTCAACGCTAGATGGTGCGTGAAACAATATGTGTGGGTCGCCATTGCAACATTTGGAAAACGCATGAATGGATCATATTGTTAATCTGATATATTTGGTTTTACGTCAACTTGTATATGCGTTGGAACGATTCAGTATTTACCAGCCATTCGTGCTCAAGCCATATTTTTGATTATCAATGAGTCTCTTAACCTCTCATCGTAGAATTCGGCACTTATGGTGTTAAGCTCCAACCGGTATTATCCTCGGATTAAATCCCGATCAAGAATGTCCGACTGGTTTGATGTCGATCAATACAAACAGGGACGGTATTAAAAGTTAATCCGAGTTGGAGCTTACCGCCATTAGTGGGTAGAATTCGTGCACACTTAGATTTTTTCGCCGAGATGGGCACCACCGAGCAGCTCGGCATTTTATTTTGCTGGTTCTCAGTGAAAAACTTGCCGAGATTCAGCTAACAAACGGGAATTTTGCCGAAATCTCAGCTAACAAACGGGAATTTTGCCGAAATCTCAGCTAACAAACATATTTTTTGCTGAATTTCCAGCAAAATAAAATGCCGAGCTGCTCGGTGGTGCCCATCTCGGCAAAAAAAATCTAAGTGTGTGGGTCATTTCCAAACGATGGACCTCTTTATCGTCCAGAGCAATAAGCTTCGCATTTTCCCAAGGGGAAGTAACTTTGTTATACATGTTCAGTCACGTCGCTGTTGACAGGGGGTGCGACACAGCTAAATCTCTACCCTAAATGCTCGAAAAATCTCAAGCTAGCAATCTACGAAAAACCTACTTTAATTTTTCGCATCTACTTACATCGTGCTTCATTTTTTTGAAGGAAATTTTCAAAATCTCCATAAATCTTATTTCTATCTTCTCAGCGAGTGCACAGCTCAGCACAGCAAAACGAACTCTTATCTGCATCGAAGATAGAGTCATCCCCCTCGGGACAAATTACCTTGCCACATTGCATTTTCTGAAACCCTTCTAACGCCTTTAAGGCCGGTGCACAAAGGATAAGTTTTCAGGTTTTTTGACAGTTAGCCCATGCATTATCTGTCAAAAAACCCGAAAACTTATAAATTATGCGCCAGCCTTAACATCCTCATAACCTTTGCTCCTCGACTTTTTAAGAGCATGGGCCTTATTACGGGTGTCAGTACACGGTGATAAGGAAGTGATACTCGGAATAAGAGCCGTGATTGCCGTACAAATCAAATGGGAATCACTTCACCGTGACGACAAGTGACAAGTTTTCACCGTGAAGTGACATCCGTAATAAGCCCCCATAGCTTCCTGGTACAGCATTGAGTTGTGCTGTTGTCATTCGTTCTTTTGGGTAGCCTAGGCTGTTACGATTATTCAATTTCAATCTAGTACATAATCTCACCGTTTTGGAGCTTTCGGAATGTTTCAATGTAATAATGACACATTTAGTAAACTTCGATTTATCGTTCCATACATTTTAGATTTTGAATGTTTCGATCCTAAAAATGGTTTACACGTCTTTTCATTTCGCTACTTCTCACATATTCTTCAACTCATAATAACTAATGGAAACGCCATTTTCTGTGCGCGGTTGAAAAGTGGAACAAATGGTTTTCCTTTTTTTTTTTGGTTTTGCAGAATTTCCTAACCAACAAAGTTATTCAACTGTAGATGTGTAAATAAATTCAACAAACTGTGGGACAACGGTAAATTGAAAACAAAAACTAACTTAGTTTAGTAGAACAAAATGCAAAAACTTGATTGGTCCGATCGGTACTGATGACTAGATGATATTTTTGGGAGATGGTTTGAATGTTTTGCTCTCTAGAAACGTCAACAAAAAAGCAGAAACTGTGTATTTAAGAGAGTGTGCGTACTGCAACTGTTTTGTTTGTTTGTCTATAGGTCGCTTTACTATTGGGTTGACCTTATTGCACAACTTTATTGTATGTTTCCTTTCCAGTTCAATTAGTAGTGGTAATTGGGGTTGCATCTTTATGCTGTCAGGTTGTTTTTTCAAATGTTTAAGGGTTTTGATTTTTGGTGTTGTAAAACAAATCATTGGTGGTACTATCCTTTGGGATGGATCATTAGAGAAGTGCCCAGAAAACAATGATCTAATAAATAACCTTACATCTTAAAATGCCCATATTTGTAATGCATCATCACAATGGAATTTACGAACTTAGTAAAAAATTAGGAAAACAATTGGATGGAAGATGTGATGTCAATATAATGTGTCAAAACTTTTGTGATGATAACCAATCTTATTCTAACTAAAGAGGAGGTTTGAGTGGATGGACGAAACAAACACTTTTTAAAATTCTTTAAATACGACTATTTTAAACATTAATCTGTTTTTTTTTCACTAAGTGGTGTGTACGTTCTCCATTTTATTGTATTCACATTTTATACAAAACAACATTCTTATCTCCGTCTTACAATTCTAAACGTACGCTCCTTTACACTGAATGACTGACCTATGGTGTGTGTTTGCATTTGCATTCCATTCGTGCATGATTTCTCTGTGATTCTCCATCTGTCGTCATTTTGGTTTTCTGTTACATTTACACCTAATATAATTTACAAATAAAATAGGACGTGTCTGTGTGTCTGGTGTAATTCAAAAAACATCAACATGCGAGTCTTCCAAGTCTCAGTCTAGCTATGTATAATAAAATGTACCGCTGGAGCAACAACGGTATCACTTCTGGGGATTCTGTGGATTACCGTCCGATCAGGGTCATGTTGAAGCACAACTGGTGATCCCGTTGGTCTCCCCAGCCGCCGTTTCCTTTGCGTAGTTTGGTTTTCTTGATCACGCTGGCCACCGTCAGGGAGATCGATTTCGGATAGAGCTGCCGCGATCGGCGCGCCACTCGAAGCACTTGCTGGACCTTCGAGATCACCTGGTTCGATTCGCAGTTGCTCTTCTTGTGGTGGACGCCACTGGTGGGAGATTTACAAAAAAAATAGATTGTGAAATTTAAGGTTAGTTCAGTGTTTACCAAATAATGTGCATCATTGATTTTTCGACATAAAGTAAGACTTACATCATGTAGGTTAGATATTCAGAAATACCTCCATATAATTAGGGTTACCATGTCAAAAACATGAAAAGCAGAACAATTTATTTAAAGTTTAAACAATTTTACTCCTTTGCACCTATAGTTGTGGTAGTGTTCCTATAATAGTGCAACCTATGAGAAACCAATTCGCTCCACTATTATAGGAACTAAAGTTAGCAACGAGCCCTACTAGTGGAACAGAGTTCTTGGAGGACAAGTCAGACCTAACATTTGATAACGGCACAAAATCATTTGTAAACAAACTTTTTAAGGCCCTTTACACGCGAACCAAAGTACGCCCACGCAAACCAATACCACTTTCGGAAAGGTGATAGTTGCCCCTATTCGATGATGTTGTTTGCGTGGGCGTACTTTGGTACGCGTGTAAAGGGCCTTAAAAAGTTTGTTTACAAATGCTTTTGTGCCGTTATCAAATGTTATGCCTGAAGTTTTCGCAAAATGTATACAATTTAATTACGATGTAATATTTTTATAGCAAAAAAGAGATTCAAACACGGCCAATCATACCAACTCAGTGACTAAGATTAATTGACTCAGAGAATTTTCTTTCCATACGAAATTTACTCAGATTTGGAATAAACTGCAGTTACTCATAGCTTGTCAATAACTGCAGTTTATTCCAAATCTGAGTAAATTTCGTATGGAAAGAAAATTCTCTGAGTCAATTAATCTCAGTCACTGAGTTGGTATGATTGGCCGTGAAGCTATAGGTTGACGTACAAAAATTGTAGGTACATCGTTTATTTAATTTTAAATAAATAAATTTTCTTCGTTCCTCCACTACTGGCTCACCCACCCTTCTACTCCTACCCTTGAATTCTCTTCATGATTCCAAAGCAATGAATGTAAGAAGGCCTTCAGAAAATTGATAAGGTGATCCAAGAGACCTTTCTTAGTGGAACTGACAGTTAGAAATCTATAGAGTGTGTGAGTGATCTGGTGTTAATGATGCTGAATGTAAACATAAACAAAGCAGAAATTCATATGAGAATAGAATGCCAGTTCTACTGTGAAATGTCAAAAGTTCTTGGTAAACAAAAAAAGTCAGCTGATCGCAACTGTCTCGTGGACAGCCTTATTCTCATTAGGGTAAACGCTCCGAGAAACGCTCCTATAGTTGCGGTACGTTAGAAGCGTTAGGTTGAGTATCCATGCATAACTATAGGAACCTAACGCTTCTAACGTACTACAACTATAGGAGCGTTTCCCCAATAACCCCTTAGGAATTATTGTCTGATTCAGATTTTTTTTTAAATTCTCATCACAATTCTCTTCATTTGCCAGAATTTGTTTGGAGTCTTCTCAGAATTTTCTTGTCGGGTCGGGAAGTCTTGGAATTTTCATTACAATCTCTACGGAATTATCATCCGAATTTACTATCAATTTTGCTTAGAGTTCCTTGGACGTTCCCAACGAACGAGGATCCAGACAATTTCGACAGATATTCCACAAAACTCCACGACGAATTGAAATCGTCGGGAACGTTAGAAATCTCCATCTCCGTCGGGAACGTTATGATACTCTGCTGCAATAATCTGAAATCTCCTATGTTTGGCAGCATCTGAAATCTCCACCGAGATCGTTGGGATCGTCAGTAAACTCCGTCGAAATCGTTTAAAAACTCTTCCGTTGGAATCGTCTGGAACCTTCGTCCGCAGCATCAGAAATCAGCATCGAACTTGTCTGGAATCTTCTCTGATTTCGGTGTCAGAAAACTCCGTCAAAATCGTCCAGTACTTACACCGAAATCGTCAGGAACCTCCTCCACCGCTTTCTTGAGAGCGTCAGAAATCTCCGTCAAAACCGTCTGGAATGTGTAGAAATCGTCTGGAAACTCCTTCGTCGGAATAGTTTTGTACCTTCAGTGGCAGCATCTCAATCGTCAGTCAACTGCCTCAAAAACAACCAAAAACTCTTCCGTTGGAATTGTCTGGAACCTTCCTCTGCAGCATCAGAAATCTACATCGATCTTGTCTAGAGCCTTTTCCGATTTCTACGTCAGAAAACTCCATCGAAATCGTCCAATATTTCCACCCAAATCGTCAAGAATATCCTCCGCCGGGAACTTCCGCAAACTCCGTTAGAAATCTCTGACGAAATCGCCCCAAAATCTTCTCGTCAGCAAACCTACCAAACAACTTATTTTCAGAGTTTACTTAGAGTTCTCGAAACATTACAGGCTACCGTAATTTTCATATACTTATGTTGATCCAACGATACTGCCCAACTCCATAAGGATACCACCTAAATTGCAGGACTTCGTGGTCATGCGGTGTGCTACGAAGAGAGATTTCGATTCCCTCTCCAGCCGGTGAAACTTTTTCTAAAGGGAAATTGAACTACTGGTCTACTGGGTTCTGTGTGTTGTCAGTTGTCTATTTAAACTATATGACACTTTGGAGAAGTTCACAGGAAAAATAACGGAACTTAGGAAAGTTGATATACTTCAAGAGACATGGTTAATGGAACTTAAGAAAAGTTCACGGAAATTGTTAGAAGTACAAGGAATTTTCTACCTTGGAATTCACCGCCAGTTTCCTTGGTACTTCCGAGTTATCGGGGTTTGGGAGAAGTTCACAGAACTTAGGAAATGTTCACGGATTTTAAAAGAAGTTCGCGGAATTACGGTAAAGTTCATGAAATATAAAAAAAATGACACTAGAAGTTCATGGATCTTTTTTTCTTTGGAACTTCCCACAAGTATCATTGGAACTTCCAAAAAGTTCCTTTAGAACCTCTGACAGTTTCCTAAAAACATCCCACAAGTTCCCTTGGATGTTCCTACACGTTCCATCGGAACTTCCCACAAGTTCCGTTGGTACTTCCGACAAGTTCTCTTGGTACGTTCAACAAGTGCTCTTGGAACTTTCCCATAAGGTTCCTTGGAGCTTTCCACAAATTCCAGAGTTGTTACAGCTGGCACCGGTTTTGCGTTTTACGTGGAATTAATGGTTGGTGTGGTTTTCACTCGTTTTAAAGCTGGCACGGATTTTGGTCCTTGTTGTAGTCTCTTCCAAAACCTTTCGTGCTCGCTCCTCTTCAGCACCTCCTAAGTTCGCTGCTAACGCAATCCCGAGGGTTTCCAGTGAGAAAAACTTTTGAACATATTCGTGTATTTCGGCGGCCGCAATTAGAGCACAAATATGCATCTACCAATGTTGCAGCTGATCTCCCTCTCGTATGCTGCCGTAGACTGCCCAGCCAATACGTGTCTTCGATGCTATCGGCTCTTGTGCACGACCATCCCGCAGTTTCAGCGTTGCAACAAGATGCGAATTGTTGAGCCCGATCAAAATTCCTGGAGTAGCTAACTTGAAGCTCTGTACAGGCAACTTCCTCAGGTGTTTGTACCGACCTGTCATCTCGTCAAAGTTAAGAGATTGTTCTGATAGTCCTAGGCCATTCACTGTGAACGCACCTCCGAGTTTGAAACGATCGATACTACCCTGTGCAGAAATATCCATCTGTACTATCCGTGCGTCCGAAATGACCTTATTGATGCCACTAGTCCACTGGATGCAAAGTGGCTCCGTTTGTCCGTCCAGACCTAGATTATCAGCAACTGTGCGATCCACTAAATTTACTGATGAACCGTCGTCAAGAAAGACAAACTCGCCGTATTTCCCGTAAAGCGGGACAGGAAGCACTCGGAATAGTGTGAGTGGAGCTGATTTATGGTGAATTGTTACCGCATCGTTCGTCGTGTGATCGGTATCCTTGCATCCGCCGATGGCTTGTAATGCAGAAAGCGATGATGCAACCATTTCCTCCACACACGTCCCCTTTGCAGGGCCAACGAAGTCCCTTGAACTTTTAACACTCACCAACCTGATGATTTTGCACATTACACGTTGGACATTGATTACCGATGTATATCCGTCTCTCTCCGTCGCCGTGTGTGCATTCACGTAGGCTTTCTCCTTCGTACGGTCATCCTTGGTATTTTTCTGCTGAATATTGCTTAGCGTCACACTTCTGGTTGCAGATGTCACACGGGCCATATAAGGCTTGTACTCGAAAAAAAAAATGCACCATTTTTATCCGTGTGTAACTTTTTTATCCGTGGGTAAAAATTGATGAAAATCTGGGTATAACTAGTTTGAAGTGTTTACATGTGCAAAATGTCATAACAATCGGTTCAGTTGTTATTGAGATGTCATCGAAACAAGAAGAAAATCGCCGGAGAATTTTGCGCGCCGTCATGGAAAATTCGACTGCGACCATGAGATGGATCGGAAGACAACTGGGAATCACCCATACAACTGTGTCTTGGGTGGTAAAATCGTTTAAGGAGTCCCAGACGACCGAGCGGCCGGCTGGAGGTGGAAGAAAATCGAAGCTGACCCTGTGAAGGCCCGGAAGGTGTTGGATTATTTCAAACGTAATCCGATCCTTTCGATTCGCGACGCGTCAAAGTGTTCCGCCTGGTTCGTTCAGCAAACCATGAAACGAACTGGGCTTCGTGTATTCAAGGTCCGGAAGGCACCGAACCGGCGTGATCAACAAAACACGGCGGCCAAATCCCGCACAAGGAAGCTGTATCGAGAGTGGTTAACGAAACCGATGTGTGTGGTTATGGATGACGAAACCTACATCAAGGCAGACGCAAAGCAGATACCGGGGCTGGAGTTCTACGTTGCCAAATCACGGTTTGATGTTCCGGAAGACATAAGGAAGAAGAAAGTGGACAAATTCGCCAAAAAATACTTGCTCTGGCAGGCCTTATGCTAATACGGTAAACTGAGTAAACCGTACATCACAATGGGTACCATCAACAGCGAAATTTAAACGGCACCGGTGGTGTAGTGGTAAGCGTGATTACCTCTCACCCCAGCAGGCCTGGGTTCAATCCCAGTCGGCGCCGCCGCATCTCTGATCACGCCTTTCTTCGGATGGGAAGTAAAGCCGTTGGTCCCCGGTTCATGAGTTGATGGGTCGATAGGTGGTAGGGTCCAGGTGTGGGAGCTGCCTTCCTGGCACGTCGGTAGCATTGGTGCTCAGCACGTAAAACAAGATCGACGGAAAAAACAAACCAAAGGAAAAAAAAACAGCGAAATTCACCGCACCGAGTGCCTCCAGAAGCGTCTGTTGCCCTTCCTGCGGTCCCACGGAGGCGAGACATTATTTTGGCCGGACCTGGCATCATGCCATTACGCGCGATCGACGTTGGATTGGTACAGAGGCAATAACGTTGTTTTTGTACCAAAAACCGCCATCACCCCAAATTCACCAGAGATTCGTCCGGTGGAAAAATTTTGGGCCATAATGAAGGCCAAAGTTCGGAAATCGTCCAAGGTGTTTAAGAACGAGCTGGAGTTGAAGAAAGAATGGATGAAAGTGACCAAAAAGGTCGGCTCCACCATTGCCCAAAATGTAATGAGGGGTCTCAAGCTCAAGTCAAGCTCCTGTAACAATGTGGTATTCGATAGATGCCATTTCAGCCCAACCGTCTTCAGATGTCCGCACACATTCTGTACTATCAAGCCAAAATTCACCAGTGTTTCCAGCTTGTCCGGTTTTGGCGGTGGAGTAGCTCTGATTTTCGTAACCATGGAATGTACGATTTGTTCTGGGCGTCTGAACAAAATCTACAACGTTGATATCAGCTGCGAAACCGTGGATGCATGCTGTAAAAAGCTACTCACTGCATCTCTAGTGGCTCCCTACAAAGCACGTTGAAGACGAAGTAGGTTCTCGAACGAAGCGCTCCGTGCTGCATACTGCTACCAGCAATCACAGGATTTGGTGGACCAGGAAAGTAAACCCCCACCTGTGGCACACGTGAAGGTATTGGTGGTGGTATTATCGATGGTGAGATTGGAACAGAATATGATGAGCGACCCCCGATTGGAGTCGAAGATATTGAGGGGTGGTAGTCAGATATGTGGTAGTTTGGATGAGGGTTTATTTCGCTAGGAATAAGTGGTGCAACACTTACCGAATAGGGATTGACATCAAACCTTCTAATCCCTGGGAATTCTTCCGTTTGTTGGAAAACTGGGTGAACCGTTTTCTCCTGGCTTAATAGTGCAGGTGTGTGGAGGTCGGGTTTTATCCTGGGTGCATGCTGCTGCTGCTGCTGTCGCATCGATTCAAGCTGGTTCATAAGCTGTTGTTCTGCAGCTCGTAGACGATCTAACTCTGCATTCCGTTGCTTCTATTCTTTCTGTCGTTGCACTTCCATGGCGGTCTAGTAATCTGCTGCAACTGCTTTCTCGTATCTGCTTCCTTCTTGCGGAGTTGTTCCACATCCGCATCCTTCTGTAACTGAAAATGCTTAATTTGCTCTATGAGTTCCAGCTCCCGTTTCCTTCGCATTTCGATGTCCTGCTGATGGCGCAATTCGTTTTCCGACGATTGCCCGTTTCACTTTTCCACTGGTCGTATGGTACCACTGCTCTTTCGCCAGTTTTGGTACTGTCCCATTGCGTGACACGACAGGCTTTGGTTCATCCAGAATGATCTGCAACGAATGAAGGTCCACCAACGAAATGAAATCTCCTCCAACAGCTCCGTCAAGCACCGATCGCGATACTGCCTTCAATATCGTTGAAGTTAACAGGCTCGTTCTCCATAGGGAAAGATCCCAACATTTCGCATTGGATAGAAGTGGAAGTGCGTTGCTTGTCTGGAGCTTCAATCGAATTTAATGACATATGGTCATTTGGTTTGACTGGCTTGGACGCCTCTACAACGACGCCGGCACCAGCATGGCTGGCTGATTTCACCTACTTGATGACCCAATCTTCTGCACGTTTCACCCCTGATCAGTTCAAACGATGACTCCTAAGACTCACAATTTCATCTTCCTCCTATTGCTGGTTTCGTTAATCAACCAATCTCGCTCTAGCTGTTCCCTTTGAGTTTCTTCCTGCATCCTTCTCTCTTCCTTCAGCAATTCCAACTCACGGGCCAATCTAGCTCTCCATGTGCTCGCCTCGAAGTACTTGATCGTCCAGTGACAGAGGTCGGTGGTGGTACAGGATCACGTGGGATGCATGCAATGTGTGAGCAACTGAGGTGATTCCATTTGGTACACTTTTTGCACTGCACCCTATAGCGTTCGGCGTTGTTTGTGTGATCACAACCAGGACACTCTTCTGCTTCTCCATTATCGGCATCGACCGCTGATGTCACGAGGCTAGCCTCTGCAACTGTCCCCAAGTAACCAAAAGTTCTGATAAAAGGCCTTTTTATGGCTTAAGCACCTTGGTTGAAGGTGGTCTATAGAATTCTAAGCAGCCTCATTTTTAAGTCGTTATAAGAACTTGAAAGTTCCGGTACCATAATTGAAGAGCATTCTAAGCAGCCTCTGGCGGAACTTGAACGGAACTTTTAGAAAATAAACTAAAAAAGGTTTTTGTCCTCTCTACACCAATTTCTATATTTAGTTCGCACTTTTATGAAAGTTATTTCTAAAGGCAGGTATTGATTTATCAGCATTAGTAGTAGTAATGGAGCTGTTTGAAGAATTAAACCCAGTCCTTCTGCGGGAGAGTCTCAGCACGAACAACTACGTCATCTGAAATATATTAAAGTGAGCTGTTGTCCCGCCTATTGTTGGAGTTTTCTGAGCCAGCTGACTGACTTTAATACGAAACACAACAGCTTGATGAATTTCAATTGGTGTTTGCCCACATGGTATTCCATCACACTTGTGGCGCAGTGGTTAGCAATCGTAGATCACATGGACGAATACACGGGTTCGAATCCAGGAAATTACTTTTTAATTTATTTTTATTTTTGGATAGAATGTTGCATAAATATAAGAATTATGATTTATCCGGGCCACTGATTATTTCATATTTACGTACATTAAATTTTGTTAAAAAAAAAGATTTGTGCGGATTGCTTCATGTGGCTTGAAAGTTCTGTCGGAACTTTATTTCAACTTTATGGAATTTGAAAGTTCTATCGGAACTTTATTTGAACTTTATGGAACTTGAAAGTTCTGTCGGAACTTTATTTGAACTTTATGGAGCTTGGAAGTGTTGAATGCGGAACTTTTGGTTACTTGGGTCTTCTCTCTGAACCTTCCTTCAAACATTTTTTTATAGAGTTTTCATGTATATAGCTACACGGCGAATGAGAACGACTCAAATTTGAGTTTAGTGCACTCATAATCGCCAAAAGTGCAGGAACTCAGCGATGAGTCAAATTTGTCTCATGGTTTCCTGTGGAAAACCTAAAAAATCTGCCGGAAAATGAGGAAATTGACGAAAATTTTATTCAGTCTCGGAGTAGTACCAATAGACTGAGTGAATCCAATCTTTACTTTTCTCAAATTCGGGATTTTTTCCCTGGAAAATCCTGGGAAAACATGTGGCAAATTAACTCATCGCTGAGTTCCTGCACTTTTGGCGATTATGAGTGAACTAAACTCAAATTTGAGTCGTTCTCATTCGCCGTGTATTGTTCCTAATAGCCTAATCTATCAGTATTATGTAATAGGAGTGAGCAAGTTAATTATTCGAAAAACGTTTTTTTGGATATCCTAACTTCTAGCCATTGGCTGGCTCGTCTCTGGAAGCCCCAGAAGAGGGTTCCCTAAAACAGTCAGACTTTCTTGAAACCTTCACTGGCATTTTACTGCAATAACGAGCCTTAAGTTGTTTGATGGTTATGGAGGTACTTACCATTCGCCGATGTGGAAGACTCGGGGTCCCTTGACGACCATAACGTGCAGCTTCTGCTTGAGGCACTGCTGCGACACGTGCTGCAGAGACCAGTCCCAGTTGTAGTCGTCGTACTCGCAGAAATGTCGCGCACATCGCGTTATATCGTGCCACGTGGATCGATTGAACGTCATGCCCATGTTGTGCTTACTGCTGATCCACGGTGTCACTTCAACCTGTTTATGTTGAATACTCCATTAGAATATATGCATTATGATCGTGTTTCGGGAAACGATTATTGTTAGAGGGGGTTCCATCAACTAACCATATTCTACCGAAAACGAAAACAAAAGTCTAAAACCAAATTTCACTCGATTGTTCGTATAAAACTGCGGACCAGAGCAGGGGATAGATACAGTACACACGCGCATTCAGAACAAAACAGGAACGGAACCAAAGAGTCTGGGAAATCATGAATAATTCATTCAAACTGGTTCAGAAAACTCAAAAATGGGGAAATGTGGGATGCGTGGTTTTGATGTGCAGCGAGCAATTTGCAAATATGGTAACTACACAGATTGTTGAAAGCATACGAGATGCAGGAGATTACTGCATGGTTGAGATGATTGATTTCAGAGGGCCGAATTTAAATTTTTGCAAGCATGAGTTTGAGGTTAGGATGTGGAGCAAAATGCAAAGTAAGCTAATCTACATACTACCAACTAGAATGCTAATGTGTTGTGTTGCAATATCATGGTGCCTTAAAGGGTAACATGGCATACTCTATTTAGTAAACGGTTTGAACAGTGAGGTTAAATGTATGATTTTCGTGAGTGATCTAAAGTCAGTACCATCGAGAACGAAAACAAGCTGCAAATATTCTGCAAATTAAGATACGAACGAATTACATTTAGAGACACCGATCACCAATTTAAGGATACACATTCCAGAACCGTAACTGCTTTGTGGGATATACATATATAGAACGTGGGGGCTTAAGGCTGGAAAGGAATTTGGCATCACTGCATCGAAAACGTCAACAGTTTTGCCTTTGACAGATGCGTCGTCGATGCCGGATACCGTTTCATCCTTGGTAGTTTGTAAGCAAGCAAGCTAACGCATGTCAGAAATACTGCCAAATAGCTTTTGGTAGCAGCCAGAGAACAGGAGTTAAACAATCGAAAAAGCTGCGTGACTTCATCAACTTATCGAAGAAGAAGTCAAAGTAGCGGTACGGTAGGTAACATGTAGGTAGTGGAAGAAGTAGTAGTAGCAAGCAGCGAGCTGGGCACACTTGAAACGCACTGTACCTTCTGGTAGATCGAGTAGAGTGTTGGCAACACTTGGTAGCCCCACTGGGACTGGGAGGCGTACTTTTCGGTGGTGGATTGACCGCCAAAGCCACCATTACCATCACCGCCGCCATTATTGGCCTGTTGCTGGCGTTGTATTTGCTGTCGAAGTTGTTGCTGTTGTTGTAGCTGCTTTTGCTGCTGAAGATGTGATGGTAGTTGTCGTGATGTCGCGAGTTCAGCGTTCGTTGATGGATTCGAATCCAAATAGGCCGTTAACAGACGATTTTGATTATTATGGAATTCGTTAGCAATTGGGGGAGCAATGTAGGATGGTATATTGTTTTGGCCAACACTAGCGGCAGCGCCCCTAGAGGCAGATTGGGAAAACGAGAGGGAATTGGGAGAAGCCTTCTGGTTCTGGGGGCGTGGCATGTAACGATTGTGGTAATAGTTGGCGAAGCTGAAATCAGCGTCTCCACGGTGGTGGCCACCGTCGCCAGTTCCACCGAGAAGAAGGGAACTAACGTCCACGAATGGGTATGACTGTTTCAGCTGCAGTCGATGTTGTTGCTGTTGTTGTTGTTGTTGATGATGGAGATGAGGCACAGCAGCTGCGGTAAGCTCCAGCGAAGCGGCAGCCGATTTGAGCAAGGCTTTGCTCTGGTAGCTGAACGGTTTGGCACCGTAGTTTGCCGCGGCGGCGTGCTGTTGGGCGCGTCGGTTGGCCAATTTTGGAAAACAGCACGCACGTTGCGGTGTTGCACAGATTGGGTTGATGGGTGATGAACGATTGTTTTTTTTGGATGGATGATGGAGTTTTGAAATTTGATGGTTTTTGTCGGATGAAACGAGACGGAACAGGTGAAAGACAAAACGTTTAAATACACATGGGAGTCAATCTGATCTTTATGTGGCTATAGTCGGTGGGTGTGAAAAGCACTTGGCAGTGAGGGACTTTTAGTTATTATGTGATTTGATGAAAGTGGATTAGTGTGACAACAGCCTGTATGTACAAAAGGTTTGTGTGTGCGACAGGGGATGAAGTATTTAGGTAGTTAAAAGTAAAAACGTAGTTTTCTCGACAAAAAGCGCGGTTATGAAATTATTATCACATTGGAAGTGCAACATTTAACGATTTTTAGACAATATTCCGGCCCTACCGGAGGAGACGCTTGAATCACTGACAAGTTAGGTGGGGTACAAGTGTTCATTTCCTAGTTTCAAAAAATAGAAATGCTTAAAATATCATTCGTCAAATGAATAGACGTGAAATAGACTGGAGCAACAGGTCCAAATCAGTCCCCCAGGAATCATCAAAAATATTTTCCCGAGAGAAAATATTCCGATAATCCCGAGCAACTTGATGCTCAATAGGGCTAGTAAGATCCAAACTGAAATTATGGGAACTCTCGAATTGTTTAGCAAGTTTCTGAGCTTTTTCCGAATTTGTGATCAAAATTTTACCACCTTCTTTAAGCGCTTTTTAATTTGTTTTTGCAAATCCTGCCAGATAACTTTCATGGCAGGATCACGTGTTCTTTTAAATTGCCTTCTACGGACATTTTTCAGACGGATCAAGAGCTGAAGATCGTCGCCTATTATAATTGAATCGAATTTAACCTCGCATTTTGCTACTGAGGCAGCTCTTACGTCAATGTAATAGCAGTCAAAAATTCAAGAGCATTATTAATATCATCTTGCCCCGTAACGTGGGTAGATCACCTTTTCGTGGTACGTTACGGGATGTAAGATCTACCACCGATTCCTAGCCCCGACTACTTCAAACTAGAGGAACAGGATTTTTCAGTAATCCAAGGAACTCATCTTAGTCCTTGTTACTTTTTATGCCTTGTTGATAGTGACAAGACTCGGCTTTGTCCACCGAGGATGATCTTGAAACAAGGAAAAAATGAGTTAGTTAATCTTCATCTATGTGATTCCTAATCTTCTATTCGTTGTTCCCCAGGTTTGAAGTGGTTAAGACTAGGGTTCTGATGCATGGCCATTATCGGTGTCATTCCTTAATTTTGTTGCTAAGAAATCCAATTTTGACTGACAAAGGGGCGCGCCTTTGGAGCCTGTTTCAACACTCCGAAGGGTATGAATAGCGGAACCTTTCAATTAGAGTGCAAGAATGACAACTGTAAAAAAATCGACTACTTCATCATTTCTCAATAGTGATGGAGTAATACGCCACGTACTAAACTAAGGACACGGTATATACTACAATAGATCAAATCACTGGTCGCAGTGCTGTTAGGTCCCGAACAGAGGAAAATAATATCGTCTTTGGTTTGCAAAGGAATATTTGGATCAATGTTATATTCCATAAATATTCGTTATTGCTCCCAATCAGCTCTGTGGTTATTGAAAGTAGAGCTGTTGGGATTAGAAATTATTTCTTGTGATATTTCAAAAACTACTGGAAGCTGATCAGAACCGAAGTCGGCATGGGTAACCAACCAATTGGCCGTTGCATCAATTTATTCAATTAGAAGCCGAAAGGAGTGCATTAAGGATCCGACCCTCACAGCACTTCCTTGAAGGTGATCTTAGAGGACATATGAGCACCCTAAAAATGTTAAATGTTGATTCTCTTGTGATTGAATAAAGATTGGATGATGAAAAGATCACTTTGATAGTCTTTACAATGTAGCAGATGCGGATCGTGATTTGTGGGCCAATGGGGGACCAAACATTCGTCCAGGATCAATTGTCTTTTATACAGACGGCTCTAGATTGGATACTCGTGTAGGAGCAGGGGTAACAGGTCCAGGAATAAATATCTCAATATCTATGGGCTACTGGCCTACCGTGTTCCAAGCAGAAGTCCAAGCAATTCTTCAATGTTCTAAAAATTGCTTGCGTAGAAATTATAGACATTCTAATATCTGCATTATGTCTGATAGCCCAGCAGCACTAAATGCTTTGAAATCAGCAACATGTTATTCTAAGCTTGTATCGGAATGTGCAATATCATTCCAAAAATTGGCCTGCCAAAACCAAGTGAATGGAGTTCAAGAAATGGGAAAAAATGAAAGTGGAGACCAATTGGAACAACACTCTCATTGCTAGGCAGTTGAATCGGTTTATTAATCCGAGCATTTCAATGACTAGCAAAACTCTTGAACTATCAAAGAAGAGGGCGACCCCGGCGTAGTGGTTAACATCCATACCTCTCACGCCAAAGTCACGAGTTCAAATCTCACCCCCGGACAAGTCACGAATGACCCAAGAGCGTTAAAGTGACTAAAGGGTGATACGGTCAAAATTTGGTCAAGGGAAAACGCGTGTAAATCGGTGAAATCGTTTATTTAAAAAATCAAATTAAATTTCTTTTTCAAGTTCAATTAGTATAAAATTCAGCAAAAATATTCAGTTAGGCTTCCGCTTTTCCGAATCCGAATTGCCGGGCCTTACGCTTGACCTCTGCCATCAGATTTTGTACAGCCACCTTGTCCACCTTCTTCGCCGCAGAAAGCCAGTTTGCCTTGAACTGCTGCTCGCCCTTAGCAGTTTTTTTGGTCTTCTTTAGGTTCCGCTTGACAATAGCCCAGTATTTCTCAATTGGGCGGAGCTCTGGCGTGTTGGGAGGGTTCTTGTCCTTGGGAACCACCTGCACGTTGTTGGCGGCGTACCACTCCATGGCCTTTTTACCGTAATGGCAAGATGCCAAATCCGGCCAAAACAGTACGGAACAACCGTGTTTCTTCAGGAAAGGCAGCAGACGTTTATTCAAACACTCTTCACGTAAATTTCTTGGTTGACAGTCCCGGAAGCTATGAAAATGCTGCTTTTCAAGCCACAGGTACAGATGGCTTGCCAAACCAGATATTTCTTTGCGTACTTTGATAGTTTCATGTGCTTGAAAACATCTGCTACCTTTCCCCTTCCTTTTGCCGTATAAAACTCCTGTCCCGGAAGCTGCTTGTAGTCGGCTTTGACGTAGGTTTCGTCGTCCATTACCACGCAGTCAAACTTCGTCAGCATCGTCGTGTACAGCCTCCGGGATCGCGCTTTGGCCGTCGTATTTTGTTTATCATCGCGATTTGGAGTCACTACCTTCTTGTAAGTCGATAGTCCGGCTCGTTTTTTGGCTCGATGCACGGTTGTAGACGATACACCCAGCTTATTTGCGGCATCTCGGAGAGAGAGGTTAGGGTTTCGCTTGAAACTACCGGCAACTCTCTTTGTCGTCTCAGCGGCTTCCGGTTTTCGATTTCCCCCCGATCCAGACTTCCTGGCTGTCGACAAACGTTCCTCAAACACTTTAATTACATTTGTAACGGTTGATTTGGCAACTTTTAGCGATTTTGCCAACTTTGCGTGCGAGTAGCTGGGATTTTCGCGATGCGCGAGCAAAATTTTGATACGCTGCTCTTCTTGCTTGGACGGCATTTTGACAACTGAAGAGTGAATTCCAAAATCAAAATAGGAGCAACATTCTACACACACACACCTTCAAAATGAGGGGTGTTCAGGTTTTTTAAATGCAAAATTGAAAGAAATACGTCAAGTTGATATTGACCAAATTTTGACCGTATCACCCTTTATAATGATAAAAAAAAACTATCAAAGAAAGATCTCAGTATGTACACTGGTTTAATAACAGGATACTGTCCATGTAAATATCACTTGAAGCTAATAGGAAAGCTTCAAGAGGACATGTGTCGATTATGTGGCATAGAAAAAGAAGACTCTGAACACCTGCTATGCTCTTGTAAAGCAAGCTTCAATAAGAGGTGTATTTTTCTGGATAAGGGGCTGACAGAACCCCTTGATATTTGGAATTCAGTTCCCAGCCAAGTAGTGCAATTCATTCGAAATGTAAAACCTGACTGGGAAAATGCTTTTGGTCAGTCTATGTCGGTCGCTTCATAAAATGGTGATACGACATGCTGATAAAGCAATATTAAAACGGGGAATATATCACAATAGATCTAAGTACTGGTCGCAGTGATCAAAATACCCAACACGGAAAAAAACCGTTGTTAACAGCAGAGAAATTTGTACCTGCTCGGGAACGTGGAGCTTTTCCTGCCTGTCGCTTAGAACGAGATTGTAGGGTTGCTTTGCGAGTCTTACATTCCCAAAAATTGGAATTGAGATTTTCACTACAATTGAAATTTCTTAGGATCTTCCTTCAGAATCAGAACCAGTCGTCCTTTGCGTGAGAGGAATCACCACAATTCATTCAT